CCTTAGGTTGTTCGGGTCTGGGCACCGCAGCATAGAAAGAGGGCTGAGAAATAATAACATTAATAATGGCTGGCATTGGTATAATGCTCTAAGGTTTGAAAAGCTCTTTATGTATATTCTCTCATCTAGAAAACTGTGACTCATCCTTCAGAGGAGGACAGCCAGGAAGGACATCCCAGTATCTGGAATCAGCCACCTGAGGATGGAAAGAATGTGGAGTAGTAGCTGGAGAAGACTCTAGGGGGCTCACAATTGCTGTTGTCAAAGATCCGAAGGAGGGGTCCGTGAAAGGGGTATTCCCCTTGCTCTGCCTGGCCCCGGAAGGCAGAACTGGGAGCCACTGGGGGAAGCTGCTCTCCTCTTCCACCTGTCCCACATGCAGACACCCAAGGGATCTTCCATGCCATTGCCTGACCATGTCATTCCCCTACTTAGAAGAGATAGCCACTCCTCATTGCCTCCAGGACATACAAACTCCCCTGTTTGCCATTTCAAGTCCGCCATGATCCATCTGGCTCCCACTTCCCTTTCTAGAATAATTTTCACATTATTCTTTTTTTTTTTTGGCTTTTTGGTGAGGCAATCGGGGTTAAGTGACTTGCCCAGGGTCACATAGCTAGTAAGTGTTAAGTGTCTGAGGCTGGATTTGAGCTCAGGTCCTCCTGACTCCAAGGCTCTCACATTATTCTTCCTCATGCTCTATCCAGCAAGCCAAGCTGGCCATTTGCAATTTCCTACACATGATGCTCTATCTTCCACCTCCTTCCTTTGCAGAGGTTGTTACCCGTGCCTGGACGGCCCCCATTTCACCTCAGCTTCTTTCAGCTCAAGTGCCCCCACTCATAGAGGGTTTCTTCTGATAGCACCAGTTTTGATATTTCCTCCTCTTCCCCCTCCTCCGCTTTCTCCCGGAAATTACTTTGTATATACTGTCTACTTCCCTTAGTGATGCCCAGGGTTGTTTCCTCTAGTTTTTGTATGCCCCACCTGCAGAACGGTAACCTGCACCTGCTGAGCTGTTGCCAAACTGAGGATTTGTGGACACGTTCGTGGGGCATGCATAGCCCTCTCTCCCCCAGCAGGGGGCCTCCTATGCATGTACCACTGACATGTTTCCTTAAGGGATGTACTGAGAGAGCTAGGCTGATTACTAATTACTAATTACTAAACCCTGATTACTAATTTGAGCAAGGCACAGAGGAGATGGAGTGGGGAGGGTTGCTATCACCACCGGGGAGTTCCAGGGCAGGAGGGATTCTCTACAAAAATGGAGTCCTTGTGCTGACTGCACCAGACCTACTTGAGAGCCACGCTGCTCACCAGAGCTTGGCCACAGTGACTGATTCTGTAGACCATCCACACAGACGGTCTCACAATGTCCACTTCAGCAGTGAACAACAGCATTTACTGCAGGTATCTGTAGCTCCCCTGGAGTTGGGGTTAGAAATCACAAGAACTAATAAGCAGCCAGGCCTTTCCCTGCGGTTTTGTCTAGGTCTATAAATTCAGGGTTTGAGATTCAAAGAGGGATAGTTGCTTTAGGATGGGGCTGAATAGATTAGATTTTTCTCAGTGTGGTGGTTTCTAAGAATATTCCAAATTTTATCCACCAGACTGGTTTTGAATCCCAAGAGAAAATTTATAAGGACATGAGCGCTAGGAGATGGGTGCATCAGACAGCCATATTAACTGAGGAGCAATTCTGACACGTTCCTCATTGGAATTTACAAGCAAGGCTCTCATTCTGTGCTTGTGGACAAGATGGAAAGATGTCAGCTAGATGAAAGGACAGTTATGTGGCTACAGATAGGTGGCTAAATGACTGGACCCCCAAAAAAGCTATTAAAGGGTCGATGCCAACCCATAAAGAGACCTCTGTCCTTGGTACTAGTCTAGGAGGTGAAACCTCAGGATTGTTTCTTCTGTTGTTTCTGGTGCGAGGGCTGATGCTATTTCCATCTGCCAGCCCCCTGATGTTTTTCCTCTTGCTTTTCCATTGCGTTGGAAATCTTCCTTCATCTTTTTGGTGGTGGTTAATTTTCTTTGAGGATTTTGGCCTTTCTCTTGCAGAGATCCAGGGGGATCCCCGGAGAAGCCAACTCCCTCACAAACTACAAGGGTAGGAGTTTAGATCCACAAATTTACCAAATGGATTTCCTTTTGCTTATTCTCCTGTAAGGGCAGAGCTGATGATTTCCTCAACCTCATCCCCTGACCCACACTTAAATCCAAAATTAAGACCCAGGATTTTAACCGGGAGAAATGATCAATTTCAACGTTATGCTTCATTTTCAGTCAATCATTCATTAAAAGTCCCTGGAACTATAATAAAGTGCAAAGAATTATGTTTGGATAGGCTGAGGAGACATGGTCATAGCCTCAGGGTCATTTATAACTGAGGAAGATAGTCTGAACCTGACTCATTCCAGAGACTGGAGAAATGAATTCTATCTAAGCTAATTTACTTCTTCAGTGCCATACCAATCAAACTACCAAAAATGATTTTATAGAGCTAGAAAAATAATAACAAGATTCATCTGGAATAACAAAAGGTCCAGAATTTCAAGGGAACTAATGAAAAGAAAGGCAGGGGAAGGTGGCCTAGCCATTCCACATCTTAAATTGTATTATAAAGCAACAATCATCAAAATTACTTGGCATTGGCTAAGAGATAGAGTGGTGGATCAGTGGAATAGGTTAGGTATGCAAGACACAGTAGTCAATGACTATAGTAATCTATTATTTGATAAACCCAAAGACCCCAGCTTCTGGGATAAGAACTCACTCTTTGACAAAAACTGCTGGGAAAACTGGAAAAGAGTATGGCAGAAACTAGGCATAGACCCAAATCTCACATCATATACCAAAATAAAGTCAAGATGGGTTCATGATTTAGATATAAAGGCTGATACTGTAAGCAAACTGGGAGAGCAAGGAATAGTTTACCTGTCAGATTTATGGAGAACAGAAGAATTCATGACCAAACAGGAGATAGAGAACATTATGAAATGCAAAATGGATAATTTTGATTACATTAAATTGAAAAGTTTTTGCACAAACAAAGCCAATGCAACCAAGATTAGGAAGGAAGTAGAAAATTGGGAAATAATTTTTACAACCAGTGTCTCTGATAAGGGCCTCATTTCTAAAATATATAGAGAATTAAGTCAAATTTATAAGAATACAAGTCATTTCCCAATTGATAAATGGTCAAAGGATATGAACAGGCAGTTTTCACATGAAGAAATTAAAGCCATCTATAGTCATATGAAAAAATGCTCTAAATCACTATTGATTAGAGAAATGCAAATCAAAACAACTCTGATCATCACACCTATCAGATTGGCCAACATGACAAAACAAAAATGATAAATGTTGGAGAAGATGTGGGAAAATTGGAACACTAATGCATTGTTGGTGGAGTTGTGAAGTGATCCAACCATTCTGGAGAGCAATTTGGAACTATGGCCAAAGGGCTACAAAAATGTGCCTACCCTTTGACCCAGCAATAGCACTTCTAGGGCTGTATCCCAAAGAGATCATAAAAATGGGAAAAGGACCCACGTGTACAAAAATATTTATAGCAGCTCTCTCTGTGGTGGCAAAGAATTAGAAATTGAGAGGATGCCCATCCACTGGGGAATGGCTGAACAAGTTATGATATATGAATGTAATGGAATACTATTATGCTATAAGAAATGATGAGCAGGTAGTCTTCAGAAAAACCTGGAAAGACTTGTATGGACTGATTCTGAGTGAAGTGAACAGAACCAGGAGAATATTGTACAGAGTAACACTACCTTGTGTGATAACTGACTTTGATAGACTTAGCCCTTCTCAGCAATACAAGGATCTAAGACAACTCCAAAAGATTCAGGATGGAAATTCTATCCACATCCAGAGAAAGAACTATGGAGTTTGAATACAGATTGAAGCAGACTATTTCCTATTTTTTTCTGTTTTGTTTTGTTTTGTTTTCTCTTTCTGGTGGTTCCTCCTATTGGTTCTAATTCCTCCTTACAACATCACTAATGTGAAAATATATTTAATAGGAATGTGTATGTAAAGCTATATAGATTGCATGCCGTCTTGGGAAGGGAGGGGGAGAGGGGAAGAAAAATTTAAAACCCAAAAGCTTATGGAAGTGATCGTTGAAAACTAAAAATAAATTAACTTAAAAAAAGAATCTTCAGAGCTTCTATAGGTTCCACCACATTCCCTGTGGAGCCTGGGGTGAGCACCCCGATTCTAGGACTGGAAGTTTTGGTGGAAGAGCCCATGTTGTCTGTATCACTCTTGGTTCTATGGAGACCTTATTTTTTGGTCCTGCTTCACGCAGGAGCCTCCTTCCCTAGCCCCTTAAGAAACGAGTCAGGTTCTTTGTCAGGCCTCCCCAGAGTCACTGGCCCCTGTTCTGTGACTGACCTGCAGACTCTGACGGGCCTAGCCTGTTACAGCTCAAAACTCCCAAGCTCAAGCGATCTACCCACCCGGCATCCTGTCACTGCCACTACCACACCAGCTCAGCCTCTTGCTTCACGCAGCCTACTTCTCCAAACTTAACACTCACTTAGCCACAGTGGCCTCCTGGCTGTCCTCTGGACTCTGTCCCCCATTTCTCCCCCCCATGCCTTTGCGTGGGCTGTGCTCCATGCCTGAAATGCTCCACTGCCTTGGGGTCCCTGGCTTCCTTCAGGGCTCAGCTCATGGGAGGCTTTTTGTATACTGAGCTTTCCTGATCTGATCCCTCCCAGATCGCCAGGTAATGTGTAGCTGTATCCATATGTATGCCCCACCCTGACCCAGAATGTAAGCTCCTTGAGGGCAGGGAATGGTTTTTACTTTCTTTGTGTGCTTGGTGGCTAGCCCAGTGCCTCACACAGAAGAGGCCCTAAGTCTGGCTAGGTGCTCTGGGGATGAGCCTCTCCCGCCTCTGGGGGCAACCCTTCCTGAGTCCCCAGCTCAGCCTGGCCATGCCAGGGGAGGGCCGGACACAAAACAAAACTAGAGGTTGTTTATTAGAACAATCCCATAATCCATCTCAGAACAGCCCTTCCCCCTCCTACCCCTGGAGCCTCACTAGCCAGGGCATGGGCCTGGGGCCAGCCAGAGCCCAGGGGCTGCCTTTGCCTGGCACCCTCTCTACACCCATTCCAAGGCCACAGCTCTGTCCATCTAGATGCCCAGGCCTCTGGGAAGGTAGGGAAGGGCATCTCTTCTGAGCTTTTCAGGTTTTCAAAAGGAGTCAGCCACACAGCTGGGCACAGCTCAGGGGGGGTGAGGGAACAGCTCAATGAATGATTTAGGACAGAGCAGCCTTGGAATGGGACCTAGCTTCTGCCCCAGAGGGGATGCAGAGTTGGGGGCAAGGGGATGTGTGTCTTCATAGACACTCCAGCACACATATGCGTGGATATGGGGGGCTAGGTATGCATGGGTATCTCTGTGCATGCATGATTTGTGGGTGAGCTTGGGCAAGAGCATGCATAATATAAGAGTGTGTGTGTGTGTGTGTGTGTGTGTGTGTGTGTGTGTGTGTGTGTGTGTACGGGGTGGGCACAGGTGAATCCTTGTGAATCCTGGGCTGTGTGAGGGAGGGGGTCTAGGTGAGTGTCCATTGTGGTAACAGTAGGAGTGTGCGTGTATGTGGTGCCTAGGGCCCAGCTGGCATGTTCATCTCCCATGTGAAAGAAGACAGAGAACAGAGTCTTTCTCAGCCCCATTACAGAGCAGGGCTAAAGTCAGCAGATGGTGGAATACAGATATTCTGGCAGGACTGAGAAGGCTGGATCAGGGGATGGAAGGAGAAGGGAGTTCCTGGAAAGAGAAGAGGAGATGGCATTGGTGGGGGAAGGGATGGGCGGGGGGGGGGGGCCTCCTCTGGCCAGCCATTCCCCTCCCCCACCCAGTTGTCTGAGCCAAGCCTGGCTGCTCTTTCTCTGTTGGCAGGGGTCTGAGGGTCATCCAGGGGCTCATGGGCCAGCCATATGAGCTTGGAATGGGCCCAGAGCCAGTGCCTGCACCCCTGGGTCTAGGGCTCCCAGGGGAAGGATCGCCAACCCAGCAGCCAGAGGGCACAGGACAGCATCTCCTGTCTGGTGGGGGCACTCCATTTGCCCTTGGCAGCCCTGGGTGTGATGGGCAGCCACTGGTCTACTCTGGGAAGCCAGAATCTAGAGAGAACAGACATCCCTAGCTTGGGGGTCTCCCCCACCTACCACAAGCAACCCAGCCCAGCCACTCCCCACCCCTCACACACAGCGGGCATTCTAGCCTCGCTGGGCAGCTGAGCCCTACCGCTCTCTCTCTTTCTGTCTCTCTCTCTTTCTCTCTGTCTGTTTGTCTCTCTCTCTTTCTCTCTGTCTGTCTCTCTTTCTCTGTGTGTGTGTGTGCATGTGTGTGTGTGTGTGTGTGTGTGTGTCTCTCTCTCTCACACACACACACACACACACACACACACACACACACACACACACAGAGCTGCTCTAGCCTCACTAGGCAGACCAGCCCAGCTGAGCCTGACCCTCTGGCCAAGGCCTCCGGTAGAGAGGACCTAAAAGCACACTGCAGGGGTTCCACTGGTTGACGCTTTGGTGCCCAGCCCCTAGGGTCTCAGGGAAGAGGGCAGACCTGGATAATGACAAGGAACTTGAGAAGTCAAATGAGCTCAAAATTTCCCTGGAGATCCAGTTAATGGAGAGAGAGTGGCCCAGAGGATAGACCTGGAGTCAGGAGGACCTGGCTTCAAACCCTGCCAACAACTTCCTAGCTGTGTGACCAGGACAAGTCATTCAACCTCTGTCTGCCTCAGTTTCCTTCTTTGTAAAATGAAGGAGTTGGACTCCATGGCTACCAAGGTCCTTCCAGCTCAATATCTTGGGTGCTATGAACATACTACCAAGACCCTGGGCCGATTCTCTCCTTTCTCCAGGAAAGAAAGGATAAAGATGAGGGGGAGGGCTCACAGACCCTGCAGCCAAGGTCTCCAGCCCCGCAAAGGTGCCAGCATCCCTCCCCCAAGACTCCTATCCCCCAAAGGCTCTGGAATCTTCCCCCAAGACCTCTGCCACCCAAAGGTGCCGGCATCTGTCCCCCAAGACCTCTGCCACCCAAAGGTGCTGGCATCCCTCCCCTAAGACCCTGAGAGAGTGTGCTAACCCTTGAGTAGGCACCTGTGAGTTAGACAGGAAGACTGCCCATGCCGGCCCCCCTCCCTGCCCCAGGCACCTTCCACCCTTCAAGGCTTCTTCAGGCTCTCCTGGAGGACCATGGTGGAGTCGGAGGTATCTTCATTTTTCTTTGTCTGGAGTATGGAAGAAATGAACAGGGGCAGGGCGCTCATCAGAATGACGTCCCTCCTGCCCTCCCCCAGCAGTGCCCTGGCACATGGGGCAGCTCTGAGGCTCAGAGGCAGGGGCAACAGAGAGGTGCAAGGTGTGGTGGGGGGGTCAGGAAAGAGGGAACCTTCTCCTTGGGGGATGGGGGGCTAGTGGCCCTGTCCTCCCTTAGAGGCTCCACTGCCTCCTCTCCAGCATGTGTACACATGTGCATGCATGCATGTGAGCATGCATTGTGTGCATGTGTGTATGTGCATATGTGCACATTGTACATGTGTGTGCGTGTGTGTATGTATTGCGTATATGTGCGTGTGCATGCATATGTGTGTGCGTTGCATATGTGTACAAGTGTATGTGCATGTGAATGAATGTGTGTGAGCATGCATTGTGTGTGCATGCATGTTCATGCATGTGTGCATTGTGCACTGTGTGCACGCATTATGTGTGTGCGTGTACATACTGTGCATGTGTGTTCAAGTGTGCACGTACATGTATGCACGCATGTTGTACAGGAGCAGCAGGAGCACTGGGGGTGGGGGCTGGCAGTGGGGGCAGGGATGGGTGGGCAGGTACTCACAGGCTTCTGTTCCGTGTCTGCCTCGGCGTACTTGAATTTCTTCTGCTGGTAGTAATGGCGTTTGGGCAGGATGTGCAGCAGCAGCAGGTCGCAGAGCACAGTGGCCTGGGAGGCAGGCACAGAAGGGCATGGGCATCAGTGGCTGCAAAAGCCCTGGGCACTGGGGGTAGGGGCAGACCAAACACCCAGAGGCTCGCTGGAGCCTCCCTGACACCTCGCCTGGCTTCCCAGCTGTCTGTGCAACTCTCAGCCCTGAGCTCCCCAGGCTCCCATCTCCCACCATCCCTTCCCCCAGGTGCTGGGGGGCCGCTGATAAGTCAGGAGGAGGGGTGTGACTGGTCAGCTCTGCGCCTTGGGAGATTGCCTTGGCTGCTGTAAGGATGATGGTCTGGATTGGAGACAGCATAAACATAGCCACTGACACTCATCCCCATTTGACAGATGAGACCAAGTCTTGGCGAGGTGTCAGGGTGACTCAGCAGGGGCTAAGCAGGGCTGGTGCCTCGCCAGAGTCAGCCCTTAATTGGGGCGAACTCAGGTTTTCTGACCCAGCCAAAGGGACGAGAGGCTTGGGCCGGCTGGCCCAACGATGGCCTGGCTTTCAGGAGTTTATGGAAGGCGCTCCCCATTTCTGCTCCATGGAAAGCTTTGCTTGCATCTATTTACTCAGGCTCTTGTGGTCAGGAAGGTCTGACCTCCGGCCCCAATTCTCCTGGTTGTCCCTTCACCGCCCTGTCCTCCTGGCTCTGGCCAGGCAACCGACTGTACCCCTAATCTCGAGCCTCCAGCACCAAGCCCAGGCTCTGTTGTGTGGGGTGGCCGTCCTTAGGGCAGGGCCCCTCGTCCCTTCTCCTGTCTGCCACGGCCTGGCGGGGTGAGAGAGTGGTGCCCAGGAGATGGCTGTCCTTTCTCATTTGGATGGGTTGTTTGCCCAGCATCTCCCCACTAGATTGGGAGCTCCTCCCGGGCAGGGCTGTCTGTTGCCTTTCTTTGTATGCCCAGAGCTCAGCAGGGTACATGGTGTTTAATTAATGCTTATTTCCTAGCTGGCTGCTTTCTGCAGTGGGCCACGGCATTAGCCAGGACAATTGTCTAACACTACTTCCATGGATAAGTGGAGCCTGAGATGGAATCCAAGCTCAGCTAACTCCCAGCTGTGTAACTGGGGTTAGGGTATGGCCTCTCTCCAGGCCTCAGTTTCCTCATCTCTAAAATGGGGATAGGCCACTCCACAGGTGCTTGGGAGGAAGATACTTGGCTGACCTTCAAGGGCTCAAGAGGCAGCGACACTCCTGGCTGTTGCCCCTAATGTGCTTGAGGCTCTGCTGGCTAGGGGACCAGGAAGGCTGGCAGGGATTTCTGAGCCCGGCCCGCTGGCTTGACTCATTCCTCTAGAGCAGTGCCCCCCTTGTGGACATAGTACCGCCCATGACATTGTGATTCCCAGAACATGGGCCGTTCCTGGCCTCGTGCGGGAACCCAGGGACCCCTGAGGCTCTCACTGCTGAGAGATGGGGAGGAATGGGGTGAGGGGGCAGCTGGGGGGTTGCTGAGTGAGAGCCCCTCTCTGGCCAGGGCACCCTCAGCCCATCTTCCTCTCCAGATGGCCTCCTCCAGCCTCCTCCCACTCCCCTCCCCTAGTGCCTGAACACTGCCCTCAGCAGCTTCTCCCCCTCCACGTCCAGCCACTGTCTTTGAGGACCCTGCCAACACCGCAGCCATACTGTGGGCACTCCTGGAATGCCATCCCTTCCAAGCTGGAAGAGATCCTCAGGGGCTTAGTCAGACTTCCACGGCCTCCCCAGCAGTGGTCGGCCAGCCTCTGCTTGGAGCCCTCCAGTGATGGGGAGCTCACTCCTTCCAGAGGCAGCCCTTGTACTGAGGAAGTTTGCTCTGACCTTGAGACCAGGATGCACTCTGCCACTTCTCCCTCACTGTGGCTCCTGGGTCTGGCCCCCTGGGCCAAGCAAAGCAAGGCTGATCCCTCCTCCCCACAAATGGCCACCCTTTAGATTGTGGAAGACACTAGAATGGCCCTTCTGAGTCTTCGCTTCACACCGAGCTCCTTCATCCAATGCTCACTGGGCACAGCTCAAGGCCTTTGTCCCTTTGGATTGCCTCTAGCACTTCCATTCAGGCCCTTCCAGGGCAGAACATAGCTGGGGGGCATCTCCCCCTCCATAGTTCTGGAAGCCTCCACCTCCGTCAAGTTCCTTTCCATGCCTGGGCTTTCCCAACTCAAAGGTCACCTCTTCCAGGAAGTCTGCTCTGATCCCTGGGTCAGTGACAACCTTCTCCCCTGGGTTCCACCAAGCCCTTGGGCCAGACTTGTCTAATGCCCACAGCCATCTTGAACTTCTTTGTTGACTGGGAGCTCACTGAGGGCAGGACAATGCCTTGCCTCCCTCACCACAAAGCCAGGGCTCCGCTTTGCCCACGCCTGTTATCTGGGGATCATTATCGACCCAAAGCAAGTGGTCAGGATTGCCCAGGAGGAAGGGGGCACTGTCCATCTAGTGCCCAGCCAGGAGCTCAGCTCGAGAGGAAACAGACGTGGTCTCCACCATTGGGGGGCTTTCCAACCGGCCCAATTCAGGCGCATGTGAGTCAAGCACTGTTACCATCTGGCCCTCAGCTCTCAGGCTTGCCCCTCTCTTGCTTCTCCAAGACCCCTGGCAGGTGCTTATCTCCAAATGAGGGTGGGGACACGTGGCTCCTCCTCCCCCCTCCCCGCTGGCACCTGCACTCACCACGCCAAAGATTCCAATCCCGGACCCAATGGTCGTCATTGTGGGGATGATGTCGAATTTGCCCGCCTGTGGAGAAGAGGCCAAAGGTGAAAAAAGACCCCTAAATCACAGGGTTAGAGAAACTTAGTCTGGCCCCTCCATTTGCAGAGGGGAGGAAGTCAAGAGACCTGCCCAAGGTCACACAGAGGCAAGATTCGAACCCAGGTTTTGACTCCATGTCAAATATATATAAAAATGTTCATAATCGGGGCAGCTAGGTGGCGCAGTGGATAGAGCACTAGCCCTGGATTCAGGAGGACCTTGAGTTCAAATGTGACCTCAGATATGTAACACTTACTAGCTGTATGAACCTGGGCAAGTCATTTAACCCCATTGCCTAGCCAAAAAAAAAAAAAGTTCATAATGGAGCTGGCAGGGCCTTGGATGGTGCCAATGACCTCAGAGGCTGACAGATGGTTACTGTTCTCTTTCCTGGGAAGCTTGGGCTCCTTATGACCTTATGCCCTTGAGACCAGTCCCTGTGGACCCAAATGCCTCCCCTGTCCTCCCTGACACGGGCTTATGAATAGGAGGTCAAGGGAAGAAGGCCTGGGGCAGCCTCGTGGGAGAGTGAAAAGAGCTGGCCCTTGAGGGAGGTGGACCTTGGCTAAAATTCTGCCTCTGTTGCCTACTCTGTGGCTCCAGTGGGGGCCTCAGCTTCCACATCTGTAAAACGGGGGGCTTAGACTAGAGCCCATCAATGGGCCCTTCTAGCTCCAAATCGATATCCCTACGGCCCTCACTCCCCCAGCAATAGTCAGGCAGAAGCCCTGAGGGTCCCTGGCTGGGCTTGAGGCTCTCACTCGGAGCTCTGGGGCAGCCCCTCCAATCTGCACTTCTCCTCCCCCTTGAGGGGCAGCTGAGTGCCACGGAGCACCTCCCCCCCAGACTAGGCAGGCGGGGCCACGCCCTGCGCTGCCCCTGTGGGCACCACCCCCAGCAAACTCACCTGGCCATCCACCAGGATGTCAAAGCGGATGCCAAACACCTTGAACAGATGTCGGTAGTGGGTCCCATTCTCCATGTAATAGCGGGCAAACCTGGGAGAGGGAAGGAGTGGTCAGGAGGGGGCCGGGCCTGTAGCATTCTGGACCTCAGAGATGCCCCCACGAGGCAGGGGGCCGCCACCTTCTCCTTGGGTCAATGGGTGGACGTGAAAATCGCCTCCTCATTCTTGATCGCACCATGTCCTTTCCAGGGCATTTTTATGGCCACTCCCTGGACAATGTCCGCGGGGGCACTGGCCCCCCCATTTCCAGATATCAAGCATCCCGGGGGAGGATCCAACGAAGGGCAGACAGCCCGAGTCTGGCCCATTCCCGGGCTCTCTAGACGCAGCGGGCGGCTGTTGCTCGGCCCCGCCCCGCCCCGCCCCGGCCCGGCCCTCTGGGCCCCACACCTGAAGTTAAAGCCCGGGGATAGGTTGTTCTCCTCATTGTACAGGCTGTGGAACGCGTAGACAGGCTTGCAGTGCCGCACCGCCCAGTCCAGGTCGCAGTTCCAGTCAATAGTGACGCCGACCACTCCTCCCTGTCGGGGAAACCAGAAGACTTTGGAAGGCCCCCTGCGCGGGTCTGGAACCCCCTGAGTGGGGGCCGTGTTCCAGGCAGAGATGGACGGGAGGGGCCAGAGCCGGGATCCAAGGTCAGGGCCCCCGAGGTCTCCAGTCCCACAGTGGACTCTTACTAGCTCTGGGAGCCTGGGCCTCTGAGCCTCAGTTTTCCCATCCACGAAATAAGCATGATGTAGCCACCTTCCTGAGCTGTGATGATAATGGTGGTCAAGTTTGTTAAGCACAGAAAAAGCCCATTTGTGACTGTCAGCTGGAATGACTGTGTATGGAGCTCAGGACTTGGGAAGCGGCTGCTTCCCAAGGGCCAAGATGGCATCGGGGCAGTGGGAGCCGTCTTGCCTGGATATATAGAGAAGTAAGTGAGATGCTGGGAGGGGCAGAGCTCAGACAGCCACCCCTGGCGTGGGGGGGCAGGACCCGGGACAGCGGGGGCATGCACCTGCACTGCTGACGGTCCCATCACCTCCAATCTCCCCGCCAGCCTCGCCTCCCCTCTCATGGGAAGTGGGAGGCCAGAGCACCAGCTCCTCCCAATGCAGAAACTGGGCTCTCGGGTCACCCCACCTTGCACCTACTGCTCCAGCTGGTTTTAGCTCCATGGAACAAGCTGCTGGGCCCCCTGGGGCTTCCCCCACCCCCTTCTGCCTCCTTTCATGTGTTGTCTCGGGGCCAGGACTGGCCTTCGTTTTATTAATTGTATCCCCAGTGCTTAGCACAGGCCTGGCGAATAGTAGGCACCTAATGCATGGTGATTGGGTTGGAGAGGGGTGGAGATGGTGGGTGACCTGCAACTCTCCCAGGCCTGCTAACGCCTTGTCCTTCCTGCCCCCTTTCCTGTCCCTCCAGGGAGAAACACCTGCCAGGCTGGACCCCCCAAAACTTCCTAGTTTTCAACCCTCCTCCTTGGCAGCTAGACCTGGCAGCCAGACTGCCCAGCTGGCCAAGGAACCTCGGGCTTCCTTTTCTTCCTCCACTGTCTGTTTTCGAAAGTGTAGATTTAAGTCTTAATGGCCAGGGATACTGATTCAGCATGGTCACCATGGATACAAGAAGGAGACAGAGGCAGAGACACAGAGACACAGAAGTGAGAGAGATGAGAGAGAGAGAAAGACCCAGAGACAGAGACTCTTCCTGTAAAAGGGACAGGAACCCGAGCTGGCGGAGGGACGAGGTGGCACCACAGAGACAGTGCCTATAGGTCTTGCTGTCACCCTTGTAGAGGGTGCTGCTTCTGCTGTTGAATGAAGGTTGGGTTATCAGAGTCATTCATGGTAGAAGGGGGGAGAGGGGGAGGGGTCCTCTGCAGGAGCCATCTTTAGTGCCTGGCTGGCAGCTCCTGGTTCCTGGCCTCACCCTTGAGCTCCCCCATCCCGAGCCAGTGTGGTCAAGCATCCCCAGCAGAGCGTGGGAAGGGCCAGAGAGGACTTCTGCTGTTTCCTGCAAAGCCTGGGTTTCCCTTGGGGGCTGTGAGCATTCTCTAGGCATTTACCAATTTTTCTGGCCCCTCTGTGTGCCTAGCCCTGTGCTCAGCTAGACTGAGGGAGAAGAGGACAAGATAAGACCCTGCCCCAGACCCTGGAGTCTGGAGCCAAGGTTAGGCTTGGACACGCCTGACCCTCTGTCAGGGCTCGTGCTGCAGGGCTCCTTCTGGGCTGGAGGCTGGACCTAATGGTCACTGAAGCCTCTTCCCACGCTCCAACTCTGTGACTCTGTGGCCCCGTAATTTTGTCCCACTCACTGATTTTCCATATGAGGACATGGAAGAAGGCTCCAGAAGGGAAGGGTGTGGGATTCAAACTTAGGCCCTCGGATTGGATCCCACCTTCCCTCAACAGCAGGGCAGGGATGGGGCTTCCCAACCACAGGTGATGAGCTTGGGGATGAGCCTCCTGCGCGAAAGTGTTCCTGATGTGACCCAGAAGGCCTGCTCAGCACTACTGGACTCAGAGGAGGGAGAGAGAACTGGCTTGGACAGATGGGGGACACTCACTCTCGCTCTTCCTCCCCTCTCCCTCCCCCCATCTCTTCCTGCCCACCTTTTCCTCCTCTTCTCTCTCTCTCTCTCTCTCTCCTCTCTCTCTCTCTCTCTCTCTCTCTCTCTCTCTCTCTCTCTCTCTCTGTCTGTCTCTCTCTGTCTCTCTCCTCTCTCTCTCTCTCTCTCTCTCTCTCTCTGCTCTCTCTCTCTTTCTCTCTCTCTCTCTCTCACACACACACACACACACACACACACACACACACATACATACACCCCCAGGCCTCTCTGTACCTTCACAGCCAAGGTGCTGAAATTCTGGCCCGAATACCTCACGATGGAGCCCAGCTCGAAGATGGGGCACAGGGGGTCGCTGTTCTTGTGGTACACACAGCTCCTCATGTATTGCTTGTCTACTGTTTCCACCAGGTTCCTTCTGCAGGGAAAAAAGATAGTGCACTGGCCCAGGGAGCAGTGCCCTTGGCACCAGAGGCCCAGAGAGCTTAGGGAAAGGCATGGGAGGGCCGGCAACGGCTGGAAGCATCTTCCCCGGTCTCCGTCAAGGAGAGGGCCACTGTGGGCAGCTTCCCTGGGTACACAGCTCTCCACTCCAGTGTCTGAAGTGCGGCAGGCTCCTTTCTTCTGGGGCCCCAGTCTACACGGAGAAAGTGCAGGCAGCAGTGGAGAGCATGGAGACTTCCCCAGCCAGCCACTGAGTCCCTCCCAAAATGTCATGGGTGGGATTGAGCCCACAGACCTGCCCAGCAGCCTCACCTCCTCTGCCCCTTCAGTCTCCCCCCCAGCCCAATGGGTGAAGGGAGAGCTACTGGGGTGGGAGGCAGCCTCTCTCCAGCCCAGAAAAACACTTGCTGTTGGATCATTTACTGTGAAAACTCATCCATTTACCTGTTTACTTTGAACCGGGGAAAGCTGATGCTGTTCTTAATGAAGAGGGTGAAAGTTTCTGCCTCCCTCAGTAGGGCTGGGCTGCAAGAGACCCACCTATCCTTCAGCTCCCTATTGGCCCACGGGATCCCCTCCCCCTCCTCTCTGCCCTCCTACTTTCCCCTCTCCTCCCTCCACTCCTCCTTTTCCTCCTCTTCTTCCTCCTCCTCTTCTCCCTCCCCTCCTTCCTCCTCCTCTTCCTCTCAAGCACAACCCCACTGTATTAATGCTTTCAAAACACTCACAACCTAAGTTAGCTCCTTGGATCCTTAACCACAACTGGGGGAAAGAATGCGATCTTCAGGGCCCCATTTTACAGAGAAAAACACTGAGGATCGGAGATGACCAATGAAGCGTCCAAGGGGGCAAAGCATCCAGCCACGCAACACAGTGTCAGGCACCTTCTGTTCAGTTGTGTCTGACTCTCGGGACCCCTTTTGGGGTTTCCTCGGCAGAGATACTGGAGCGGTTTGCCGTTTCCTTCTCCAGCTCATTTTACAGAAGAGGGAACTGAGGCAGACAGGGTGAAGTGACTTGCCCAGGGTCACCCAGCTAGTGTATGTCTGAGGCCAAACTTGAACTCAGGAAGAACAGTCTTGCTGATTCCAAGCCCGGCTCTCTATGCACTATGGCGCCCCCTAGTGGCCTGCCAGAAACCTAGTAAGCTTGGCACAGTCAGAGCTGCTGCCCACTCAGGGTGGCAGCCTGGGGAGGCGGCTCTAAAAGGCAAGATAGCCACTCAGGGGGATGTTGTAGAGGGAGGGCGTGGCTGGGCAGTACCCCCTCTCTGCTGGCTCCTTCCCGCCCTGCTTCCTTCCAGCGGCCCAGGTCTCCTCTATCTTAGAAAGCTCTCCCTAGACCCCAGCGGCCTCCACTGCTCCCTGCTTCCCAGCTGAACTCCCTGCTGATCTGTCTACACTGGCTGTGAGTGGAGTCTTGGAGGAGCTGGCCAGGAGGGGAAGCCGGTGGCAGGGTGGCCTCTCTGCACAGGAACTGGAGCTGACGGGCCTTGGCTAGCTGCCTCCCTGAGAATAAACTGGGATGAAACCAGCCACTCTCTCTGGCCATGAAGCATTGCTTCTAAATGTTTACAGGAGCACAGATTTAGATCTGGAAAGGGGCCTTATAGGGCATTTCCCCTAACCTCCCCATTTTACAGATCAGGAAACTGAGGCACAGGGAATTAAGTGACTGGCTTAGGATCACACAACTGATACTAGTCTGGTTTGAACCCTGATCTTCCAGGCTCCTTTTGATTCTGCCCGAGCCTCAGCAGGGGCGAGGATGGTGGGGTGTGACAGCCACCCCCCCCCAGGGCTGGGCCTTCACCCTCTGGGTTTCCAGAATCCAGCCCAATGGACTCGGGTGCCTACTCCTGACTTTGTCTTCCCCCTGCCTCTGCTTGACCCCTCATTCCATTCCTGTGCTCTCTCTAGACTGGGACCCCAGCCAGCAGCCTGCAGGACACTCCCTTCCCTCCGCCTTGCCTCACTTTGGGCAAGACCAACTCCTCTCTAGTTGAGACAGAAACCATCGATGACCTTTGGACTGGCCCAGTCCCAGCTGCCCTCTCTGGCTGCACTGCTTCCCCACCCCCACCCCCACCCCCACCCTCAGCTGGGGGGAGGGGTGGCTATCAGGAAGTCAGGGATAAGGTCCCAGCCTGAGTTGTTAGCAACTAAGGCCGGTGGGTAGGTCAGAGAGTGACTGAGCCTTGGTGCTCTCTAACGTGGCCAGGGTGAGCAGCCGCCTCCCCCTCCCGTCCTTGATGGCCCATGTGCCAGCCTCCTAGCGGACCGAGTCCCCACTCTAATCCTACTCCCCACCTTTACAGGGTGGGGGTGGGGTGCAAAGCTCATTCCAGGGCCATCTTTGAATGCACTTTGAGTTTAGCACTTCATACATAGTAGGTGCTGTGCAAGTGGAGAATGAATGAATGTGTGAATGGATGAATGAGTGAGTGAGTGAATGGATGAATGAGTGAGTGAATGAATGGAGTGAATGAATAAGTGAATGAGTAAGTGAATGAATGAATGAGTGAGTGAATGAGGTGCCTGGCCTACGGTTGCATTCTTAATTGTGAGACCAGCCCTGAAGCTGGGTCTCCTGACTGCCCAGGGCAGTGCTCATTCCCTACAGCTTTATCCTTCTAGCACTCAAAATTGGGCAGCAAGGTTGACATCAGCCAGGCTTCTTTCCTGTCTGGTGGGCCTGAGGCTCCAGGGAAGACCTCACCATAAGGAAGGCAGGCCAGGGTTTCTGTGGGCACCTCCCTTCCCTACCCCAGGGGTGCAGGGGCTGGAGGAGAAGGGAAAGGCAAGTGGCCAAAGGCTAAGGGGAGGGCCTAGACTCAGCTCTCTCAGCCACCTAGGAAACAAATCCATTGACTTTAGGGGAGGGCAGAGCTGACCGGAATGATCCTCCTGGAATGATCCTCCCTGAGACACCCCACCCCCACCCCGCCAGACCCATTCAAGAAAAAGGGGCCAACGCAGCAAGACTCCTCTTCTGGGGCCCCACCCCCCTTGGGGCTCACTCCCCTTCTATGTCCCCGATAAAAGCAGGCTTAGAGAGCTGGCAGGGACCCAGCCACCCAAGTCCTCACACTATACCCAGCTCCCAGGAAGTTTTTCATTCCATCAGTTCCCCCAGCCCCCACAGCTTGTCTCTCTTCTCTCCTACAACCTGCCATAGCCCAACTTGATTGACTTAAAGATTGAGGAGGAAATTCTTCCCAGTGGCTGTTCAACCCTGGGCAAATCACTTAACTCCTGCCTACCTCAGTTTCTTCAACTGTAAAATGGGGATGACAATAGCACCCACCTCCCAGGACTGTTGTGAGGCTCAAAAGAGATAAATTTGTAAAGCACTCAGCACAGTGCCTGGCACACAATAGGCACAATAAATATTTCCTCCCTTTTTTCCTTCCTCCTTTCCTTCTTTCCTTCCTTCCTTCCTTCCTCTCTCCTTTCTTTCCTTCCTTCTTCCTTTCTTCTTTCCTCCATTCTTCCTTCCTTCTTTCTTTCCTTCCTTCCTTCCTTCTTTCCTTCCTTCCTTCCTTCCTTCCTTCCTTCCTTCCTTCCTTCCTTCCTTCCTCTCTCCTTTCTTTCCTTCCTTCTTCCTTTCTTTTTTCCTCTCTTCTTCCTTCTTCCTTCCTTCCTTCTTTTCTTCCTTCTTTCCTTCCTTCCTTCCTCCCTTCCTTCCTTTTCTTTTTTAGGCTATTGGGGTTAAGTGACTTGCCCAAGGTCACACAGCTAGTAAGTGTTAAGTGTTTGGTCTGAGGTCTGATTTGAACTGAGGTCCTCCTGACTTCAGGGCTGGTGCTCTATCCATTGTGCCACCTAACTACCCCCCCTTCCTTATTTTTTTTTAAAAGAGAAGCTTGAAAAAGGCACTAAAGGGGTCAAAGAGACCAAATTATCAAGATGGCGCTTGCAGCACTATAATGGGCAGAGGGTTGTGTAAGGGCCTTTCTGGGCCCTCATGTCACACGCTGTAGCCCCTTTAGAACAAGGCCTAATGTCCCACCAAAAGTCAGCAACATAGACAGAATTTGAACTTGGACCCCCTCACTCCTCTCAAAACCCTGGACTTCTCTTGTTATTGATCTGGCTTCTCCTGACACAAATAAGGTGGGGCGGGGGGAGTACTTTGAGAGAGGATCTGAGTCCTAAAGGAAAAGAAGACCTTCCTTTCCCCCTACATGTGCCCTCCTGCCCCTCCCTCCCTCCCTCCCCCCAATCTCCACATTCATTGAAGGTCCTTACTTTGGAATGTGATCGTCCACTTCCACCGGGCACCATCCAAGGATTTCACAGGTCTTGATTGTGCTGTTAAAATCCACACATTTGCCAGTCCGGATGCCTGAGGCAAAGGAGGAAGGGGGGTCCTGAAGGCCCATGGAGACCCTTCCAGTCTGGCCTCCTGGGGGCAAGTGCATGGCCCACCTAAGACCCTTCTCTCTGGAACTGCTCTTCGGATAACAGAAGGATGGGAGGAAAGAGAAAAGTAGGAAGGGAGGAAAGACAAGTGATGGACCAAGAGGAGTGGGGAAGGGGGAGAGGGGGGAAGGGAGGGAGGGGGAGAGGAGGAGGGAGGGAAGGGGAGGGGAGGAGGGAGAGAGGGGTTGGAGAGGGGAGGAGGGAGGGGGAGAGGAGGAGGGAGGGGGAGAGGAGGAGGGAGGGAAGGGGCGGGAGAGGGGAACAGAGCTGGGGCGGGGGAACCACGGGGTGTGAGCTGCCCATAGTGTGGGCGTTGCCCACTCAGGGGCCTGTGTACTCCGAGCACCAGGCTGGACAGTCTCTGATGCACAGGGAAAGCTCGCCAAGGTTCTCAGATCCACTGTGAACGTGAAGCCGCAGCGGCATCTGGCACAAAACAGCCATAGGCCAGGCCTGACCTCGGCTGCCTTGGTGGGCAGGGTGGGGCAGGGGACCTCCCTTACCGTGGCCCTTTCGTTTGGGCTTTCCTGCTGGGCAACTGCTATCATCCTGACAAATCCCTCCATCTGGATTCTGAAAGCATTAAGCAGTGCCCACATCAGGAGGGAAAGAACACCCCTCTGCTCCCCCAGGCTCCTCTGGGGGTCATTTCTGAGACTGCCGCTGAAGGTAATGAACTCCCCATCCTTACAGGTATTCAAGATCAAATGACTGCTTGCCAGACACTGTCAAGGGGACTTTGGTCCCATTGTGGTCCCCAGGTGAACACCCCAGGCCATCCCAGACATGTTTGGGCCAGACCCCTGGGTCAGAGGCAGGGAAATCTCAAGACTTCCTGAAGGTTCTGGGGCATTGGGAATATGTTAAACACCCTCCCAGCTTCGCCCCTCACCCCTAAGCAGAGAGGAACTTGTAATTACTCGATGGCTGGCTTCATCCTGCTCCTTAGCCTGATAATGCTAAATGCCCAAAGAAGAACTTTGAGCCTCATAACAAGCCTGTAAAGTAGGTGCTATTATAAACAGCCCCACTTTACAGACAGGGAAACAGGCTGACAAAGGCTAAGTGATTTGCTCAGAGTCCCACAGCCAGGAAGTGTCCAAGACAGGATTCTAACTTAGGTCTTCTTGAGTTCAGGGCCAGCGTTTTAGCTCCTAGAAGAGGGCCCTAGAATGGTAAATGCAGAGGGACCTGCAGAGGGTGGAGCAGTTCCTGCCACTCCCTGGCTCTGCTGAGCCTGACTCACCCCAGGTCCCGCAGTAAGTGAGGGGCAGAGCCGGACACCCCCAAATCCCGTGCCCTTCCCCACTGCAAACAGGTAAGTGGGGGCGCTTTGTGGGCTAGTGAGGTCTGGATTATCTGTGGACTTGGTTGAGTCAGGCTTCCTGTCCCCTAAGAGTCCCAGGGGCTCAGGTAAGACGGGGTGTCTGCCCGGCCCCTCTGGGGCATCTGCACACTCAAATCCAAGCTTCTCAAATTTGAGAATCCTGAGCCAAGGCGTGGGTCTCCTTCCCCCAAATTGAACTAGAAAGCTCAGCACCAGTGGGGCTCAATGTGTAGGCCATGGCCAGACAGTCTTGGGGTCCTAGAGGAGAGCCTCCTGCACCGGTCCTTACATCAGCACAGCTCCCTTGAACCTGCCTGGGCGTCACAATGAGGTTGGTTATCACCACGAAAGAGCTGTCCCCCTAGGAGGAAGAAAATGCAATTGGGGGTCGGGGTGCTGGGGCTGCCACTCTGCTATATCCCCCATAGAAGAGAGAGGACTGGGGAGGGGGCTCTGGGTCCCATAGCCAGGTCTTAATTCCTGGGTCTGGAACTCAAATTCCTGCTATGGGGAGGAGATGGGAGGTAAGGGGTTAGTGAGAGTTCTGACGGGTCAAGAGGTTCCTAGATTTTGGGATGTGGAGTTTGTGAGGGATAGGAGAGACCTTGCTGAAGAGAAGGAATGGTGTAATTTGGGGGATGGGAGCCTCTCCTTCCACCTGTCCCCATTCACCTTTCCCTCCCAATTGAGCCCAGGTCTGGAAGTCCTGACTCATCTGCTGTTCATACCCAAGAGGGGTCCACTGATCTCTCCCCTTTACCCCAGTGAGAGTAGCAGGGAGCAGGCTGGTAACCCAAAGCTGGGGCTGGCACTTATCTACAAGGTTTCTTGGCATTCAAGTCAAAAGAAAATTCTCAGCCCTGGAAGAGGGGAACTCTGAAAGGGAGAGAGGAGCGGCTGGGCTGAGAGCCTCTGGGCAGTATGGAGCCTGAGGGAAGCCAGGGAGGAGGGAGTGGGCTGCTGATCCTCCCGACCATCTCTTCAGCGGCCCATTCTGGAAAAGGCCAGAGCTGGTCAAAGCAATGGGAGTCCATATCATGAGGGCAAACAGGGGCCAGCTGGGATTGAAGTGGGGTAGCTGAGGGAGAAGGGAGGTAAGGACCTAGGTAGGGCTGAGGGGCCTTCTGCTCTTTCCCCTTAGAGAGGACACAAGCCACACCTCCTCCTTCCCTCCTTCCTTTCCGCAGTCGAATCCCAGAGTCAGGTGTGAAGTCTCAGCTGGGGAGGAGAAGCTAGTACTCAGAGATGGGGGGGGGGGCGGCAGCGGTGAGGGCATCATCCAGGGTGTGGCCAGAGCTAGGATCAGGGGATCTGATTGGGCTCAGGTCTGCACTTGGTGCTGGAACTTTGTTGGAACTCCTCCCATCCCCATTCTTCAGTGGGTCCCCCCTCCCTCCACCCAGACTCAGGGCTGGCCGAAGATGCAGGAGGACACACCCATGGGAAGCACCAGCCTGGCCCCCTGACGAGGTCATGACCCCAATCCCCAGCCCTTCATGTACTTCCTCACTCACCTGTGCTGGGAACATGTAATCTGCGACATCCCACACCTGTAAGCCCAGGCCAGAGATATTGGTCACTGCCAGGCCCTTGAGTTTCACAGACACCGAGCTGATGAGACCGTCAGCCGTCTGGTAGCCCTTCTCGAAGAGAAAGACCCACCTGGGGACAGTAACATGTCCGTGGATGTCGTGCAAGTGCTGGGAAACCACCCAGAACCCCTCATATTAGTCACTGCCCTTCCAGAACACACATCCTTGAAGGAGAAAAGAAATCCTGAGGGGCCAGCTAGGTCAGCTAGGGGCACTGAAGTCAGAAGATCTTTGAATCCAGCCTCAGACACTTACTAGCTGGGTGACCCTGGCCAAGTCACTTCACCCTGTTTGCCTCAGTTTCCTCATCTGTAAAATGAGTTGGAGAAGGAAATGGCCAACCCCTCCAGTATCTCTGCCAGGAAAACCCCAAAAGGGGTCACCAAGAGTCAGACATGACTGAAATGACTGAACAACAAGAAGACCCTGGGCAAGTCCCATCACCTCTGGTTAACTCAGTTTCAACTGTGAAATGGTGATAATATAGCACTTACCTCCCATGGTTATTGTGAGGACCAAGTAAGATAATATTTGTAAATCACTTAACACAGGGCCTGGAACATAGTCGGTGCTTAATAAATGCTTGTTTCTTTCTCCTCTGTGAAACTAAATGGCCAGAGTATCTGCCTTGGAGTTAGAAAGACCTGAGTTCAAATCCTGCCTTAGTCCCTGGGCATGTGACCTTGGATAAGTCATTTAACCTCTGCCTGCCTCCATTTTCTCATCTGTAAAGTGGGGATAATAACCACACCTACCTCACAGGGCTGTTGTGAGGATCCAATGAGGAGGTTTATGAAAGAGTGCTTTTCAAACCTTTGAATGCTCTTATTGCTATGTTAGTATCATCCCTCTGAGCCTCCGATCATCTGGGGCTGTCAGAGCATCTGCATCCCCCCCCCAACTCTCTTCATATGGACCACTGACTTCTCAGTTGGGTGAGGTCTGGGGCCTCTCGTGAAATCGAACTTGAAGAGAGAGAGGAGGCTGGAGAATGGGGGTAGTGAGGTGCAGAAGGCCAGGCACCAGGGGAGCCCAGGGGACCAGAGTCTGATATCACATGCTTCCCGAGCATTGTTCTCCTCCCAGTCATCCAGGTTCCCAGCTCAGCCTAACAAGCATTTCCTGAGCATGCACTGCTTGGCCTGGAGCTGTGTAAGACACAAAGGTGAGACGGTCTCTATATAACACCACTTTCTTCTGGCTCTCCTCCGCCCCCCTCTCTGACCGCTCCTCCTCTGTCTCCTCTGCTGGATCCTTCTTCAGATCACAACCTCTAACTATGGGTGTCCCTCAGGCTCTGTCCTAGACCTTCTCTTCTCCCTCTAGAGCACTTCACTTGGGGATCTCATCAGTGATGATCCTCAAATCTACCTCTTCTGCTGTGCAACGTTTCTGCTGACTGCCAATCTCACCTCTCCAGCTGCCTTTCAGACATCTTGAGCTGGACGTCCAGTAGATATCTTAAACTGAAATGTCCAAAACAGAACTCATTGTCTTTCTCTCTAAACCCTCTCCCCCCTCCTACCTTCCCTATTACTGTAGAGAGCAACATCCTCCTCCAGAATCCTCAGGCTCCCAACGTAGGAGTCATCCTGGACTCACTCACTCTCACTCTCTCTCTCTCTCTCTCTCTCTCTCTCTCTCTCTCTCTCTCTCTCTCTCTCTCTCTCCCTCTCTCTCTGTCTCTGTCTGTCTGTCTCTGTCTGTCTGTCTGTCTGTCTGTCTGTCTCTCTGTCTCTCTCTCTTCTCTCTTCTCTCTCTCTCTCTCTCTCTCTCTCTCTCTCTCTCTCTCTCTCTCTCTCTCCCACACACACACATCCAATATGGTGCCAATGCCTATTTATTTCACCTCTGCACTGTGTCTTGTCCATTTCACTTCTGCAGTATCTCTTAAGCATCTCTTGTCCATTTCACCTCTGTACCATCTCTGGTCCATTTCACCTCTGCTGCATCTCTAGTCCATTTCACCTCTGCAGTGTCTCCCCAGTATGCACCCTTCTCTTCTCTGAGGCTGCCCCCACCCTGGTACAGACTGTCATCTCCTCATGGCTGGCAATAGCCTTTCAGGGAGTGTGTCTGCCTCTAGTCTCTCCCCACTCTAGAACATCCTCCATTCAGCCACCGAAGTTATTGTCAATGACTTGACTTCTCTCAGTATTTCTTTATATTTAAGTCTCGGATTTTGTTTGTTTGTTTGAGTCTCATCATGTTGTAATTGTTTCTTAGTCAATATATCTGAAGTTACTCTGAGTGAGGATTGCTAATGGCCTAAAACCAGTCTGACTTCAAGCAAATTGAGCCTGAAGCCAATAGGATATCAGACTGGCCTGTTGTAGTCATAGCAGAGTCAGAGCCATCCCCAGTCAGTTACTGTGCAGGGAGGTGGGGACCAGGCAATATGTGCAAGATTGGGGCCCTCCTTGCACATGTATAACCTATATCTGATTACCATCTTAGGGATGGGGGAGGGGAGGGAGGGAGGGATAGAATTTGGAAATCAAAACATTAAATAAAAATGTTTTAAAAATTGAAAAAAAAAAAGAGGCCCTCCAAAAGGCCTGAGACCAAGATCTGGCCAGGGCTTCCAGGGCTTCAGAAGAGAACAAAGCCAACTCCTGGCTGGTGACTGTGTAAGGAAAAGGAGGCAGAGATAAGGGTGAGGACAGCACCCATATTGGGCCATCCCTGGGCAGAAGCAGAAACCACGGATTATGGCAATGGGCAGGACTAGATCCCAATCACCCCATCTAGAACTGGGATAGGGCAGCAGCAGGGGCATCTGGCCCACAGAGGAGACAGCACCAGGAAGGGCATAAACACCCCATCCCACAGAACAATGGAAGTGAGTTTGGCCCTGGTACAAGGTCCCAATCCAGGAACTCAGACTAGAAATTTGAGTACACAGAAGAAAATCCTGAACACAATGAAAAAACACTATGGGTTAAGAGAAACCCCAAAGGTAAATTCAGGAAAGCAGAGTTCTAAAACAAGTTCAAGTTGGGGGGAGAGAGAGAGAGAGAGAGAGAGAGAGAGAGAGAGAGAGAGAGAGAGAGAGAGAGAGAGAGAGAGAGAGAGAGAATGGGTTAGACACAAGGACTCCAAGAATGGATGGGAGAAATAAAGCAAAAATTTTTTAAATTAAATTAGAGCTCTTGAGGAAAAAGTTGGAAGGAGTATAAATAGCTTAGAACCAAAGATGGAAAACTTGACCCAAGTAATGAACTCTCTGAAAGATAGAATGAAATAAGCAACTTGATGATTCAACAAGACAAGAAATATTAGAACAAATGGAAAGTTAGAATAGGTATGGTATCTACTATCAAAAACAACCAATATGGAAAACAAGCTTGGGAGAGAGAATTTAAGAATCATCAGAATCCTTGAAGACTATACCCAAACAAAAAAATCTGGACACCAATCCCAAGAAATCTCAAGAAAACTGTCCCTATATTCTAGAACCAGAAGGCAAAGTGAAAATAGAATCTACAAGCCATCTCTTACAAGAAGCACCAAAAAGAAAACTCTCAGGAATGCCACAGTCCAAATCCAGAGCTTACGGGGTAAATAAAAAAAATAAACTGCAAGGAACCAGAAAGAGAGAGTGGAAATACATAAGGAACCAGAATCAGGATCACACAAAACTATGTTGCAACCACCATAAAGGAGAAGAAATCTTGAAATATGATATTACAAAAGACAAAACGAAGACGTTTTGCAACCAAGAACAACTTTTCCCGTACAACTGAGCTATAATCCTACGCTGGTAGGGAGTGGGGAATGATTTTTTTTTTCTGGTTTAGGCAACAGGGTTAAGTGACTTGCCCAGGGTCACACAGCTAGTAAGTGTCAACTGTTTGGTCTGAGGCCTAATTTGAACTCAGGTCTTCCCTACTTCAGGGCCGGTGCTCTATCCACTGCGCCACCTAGCTGCCTCCAAGTTATGACTTTTAATAGCCTAGAGGACTTTCAAGTACTCAGGATGAAAACATGAGAGTTGGGCAGACTCTTTGAAAAGTAAACACAGGAGACAAGAGAAACCTAGAAAGGAAAATATATTTGAACAATTGGAATAAATCCATTTGAACAACTGGATGATGACCAAGGGCTTACATTCTAATAGAAGGAGAAGAAAAAGTGTCCCTTCAGAATCCCACTGTCTTCAAGGATCACAGAGAAAGTTAAAAAGAGACCTAAGGGTAGTCTTATTCCATTTTGTTTGATTTTAAGAGAGAAATAAAAAGGGAGGGGAAAAGGAATACAAGAGAAGAATTTAGGAAAAGGGGTAAGAATTTTGTTTCTCATAATTGAGGTACATTAAGAAGCATACAAATATGGAGGAGGCTTTAGGGAGAGGAAACATCTCATAAAGTTTACTCTTCTCTGAACCAGGAAAGAAGGGTTGACTGCACACACAGAGATTGGTGTAGAGATGCATTGAACTCAATAGGTAAACAGACAAGGGCAGTGAAGGAGAAGAGAGTGTTTTAAGAAGAGTGGAGTTAGGGAAGTAATGGTTTCAAACAAAACAAACATCAGCTTTAGAGGGTGGATCATAAAACGGAGATTCATAGGAAAGAAAGAAAGTATAAGAAACAGTGATCAAGGTCTGGGCTGGGAAAGTGGAGTGGAATTGGTCCAATTCAATCCTATTAGTGTTGACTCTATTTCTTTTCTTTCCTGACTTTCTTCTTTGTAAAGAGTAGGGTGGGGACAAAGAAAAGGAAAATTATAAAAGGTTATGATGGAAGGTGCAATATGGTTAACAGTTACCACAATCAATGTCAATAGGATCAATTCACCTACAAAACAGAGGATAGTAGAATAGATTGGAAAGCAGAGTCCAACAAGAACATACCTTAAACAAAGACTCACGCAAAGTTAAAACTTGGGGATAGAACCAAATGTATTCTTCCATGGGTGAATTTTTAAAAATAAGCTTAGAAATCATGATCTCAGATGAGGCAATTGTAAAATACCTAAGGGTACCATTTATGATATCAATAATATCAATTCTTTATAATATATGTGTGTGTTTACCAAATAGCATGACATTTAAATATTTGAAAGAAT